CCTTCCCGTGTTTTTTCCCGCTACCTCACCCACCTCCCCACTGTCTCCCCCCCCTCCCCTTACCAACCCCCCCCTCCACAACCGCCCCTCACCCACCCGCCAACCCCCTCCTCCTCCAACTCAACCCAAACTGACAACTTCAGTCCTCCAAGCCTCCACAACGCCCACCGCCAAAGCCGCCCTCGCCACCAACACCGACGCTGCCTTCGCCGCCGGCGCCTTCGGTCTCCCCTGGGTATACTGCACCAACAGCGCGGGCGAGAGCGAAGGGTTCTTCGGGGTAGACCACCTGGGCCAGGTGGCGCAGTTTCTGGGACTGGCGAGGCCCGCTGCTGCTGCTGCTGTTCTTGGAGAGGGGAAGGGGAGTGGGAGTGGGTGGAAGGCGCTGCTTTGAGGTTGGGAGTGGTGAATGGGGGTCTGGGGTGGAGGTGAGTGTCAGGTGAGGGGATCTAGAGGGTGTAACATATCCGAACAGGTACCGAGAGATGATCCATCCGACTTCCATGTAATGCGGTGACTGTCCAGCATCTGGGTGTCGGATGAATAGCGAACACCTGGTACCAACCATGTCGAGTCTGGAGTCGGTAATGACCTGTACCCACCCCAGTTGGCCGTTAGAGTCGCGGTGTCGTGTTTTGGTCGCAAACGCGTCGCGTGGGCAGTCGACTCGTCGTGTCAAGGTCACCATCACCATGCGCGCAGCAAACAGAATCGAGAATGGCACAAATTATCGTGATCATGAAGTCAACGTGGATATTCGCGGCAGTCCGTTTGCCACCGTGTAATGTACAACCCCAGAGCAAAAACCCATCGCAATAAAACGCCGTCCCTTGTCCCGTGAATGAGCCCCTTCATCCAGAGCGCGTCCCAAATGAGAAAGTCATAACCTGCGAACCCCCCAAACTAGCAAAGACCCAAGCAACCATGCTTAGTTGCGCTCACCACGGAGACGACGAGCGAGCTGGATGTCCTTCTGCAGTGGTTGTTAGCATGTGATGTATGACCCATGGTGTCTGTTGCCTGAAGGCAGGTGGCGACTTACCGACTGGATGGTGACACGCTTGGCGTGGATGGCGCACAGGTTGGTGTCCTCGAAGAGGGAGACGAGGTAAGACTCAACGGACTCCTGGAGGGCGCCAATGGCGGAGCTCTGGAAACGGAGGTCGGACTTGAAGTCCTGAGCGATTTCGCGAACCTGTAGTGCATGACGCGTCAGTAGACTGCAGTGGTAATTGCGCGATTGACCGGTCGCAGCGACGCGATCGATTTGGATTGAAAACGTACCAGGCGCTGGAAGGGGAGCTTGCGGATGAGGAGCTCAGTCGACTTCTGGTAGCGACGAATCTCACGGAGAGCGACGGTACCGGGCTTGTAACGGTGAGGCTTCTTGACACCGCCGGTCGACGGGGCCGACTTGCGGGCAGCCTTGGAAGCAAGCTGCTTGCGAGGAGCCTTGCCACCAGTGGACTTGCGAGCGGTCTGCTTAGTGCGGGCCATTGTGGTTGATGATAAAATTTATCGAAAGTGGGTTGGACTGTTAAGTTGGAAATGGAATGACCCGCGATGTGCTGGATTGATGGATGTGGAGTTGGAGTGTGAGTTGAAAAGGGAAGAGAAGTAGTGGGGGGTCTGGGCATTAAATAGGCGGGAGGTGTTTCGCTCAGACTGCAGGCTGATTACCGAATAAAGTGGGCCGGTTTCGTTGATTGTGCCTTCTTTTTTTTTGTTGTAGCGCGCTACCAGAACCGGGGTCTGTTGCAAAACAATAATGGGTCAATCTTGGGCGGGCGAAATGCGTTGGTTTGGGGGGGTTCGCAGCTGGGTAAGCCAGTCTGAATTTCCATTGGCTCAAAACTTCAATGCAACATGGAACCATGTGTACGTGCCACACCAGAGATCGGCAGCCAACTTCAAGCGGAGAGCATTCCTCGATTCGAGGTGCACGCCTTGTAAGGCTGCGGGCTGGGAGGCGACGCCGTGCGATATCGCCGCCAGCCACAGGCTGGAGTACGATACAATGGGTTCGAGGTTTCGGTTACACCAGATTTTGAACAGAGGTATCAAGCTAGAAAATTAGATCATGGCTAGACTTCACTGTCAGGGAACAGACATGACGCATACACTCAGCACCTCGCCCAGCTCGCGCAATGACGCGAGCAACGCCCTTTCAAAGACTTCAGTGATCATCCAAAGAGAGACGGGTGAATCTACACGTTGAATGCTTGCCTTGTCCACCGGTGGGCAGGCATCTAAACAGAATCCCGGTTCTCCCTCAAAGGTCACAATGTCCACGTCCAAAGTTTAAAGATGCAATGACTAAGCCTGGGTACCAACGAGGGCCAGGCACAACATCATAAAACACGCTACTTCAACACAGTGTGGCAACTTTGAAGGTATCAAGGAACAGCCCCCGAAGCCTGAGACAGGGGGGATATATTCTGAAAACCTCCTGAGATATCCGGGGAAGGCGAGATGGGTATGGGCTGGAAGCACCAACAACGAGATCTGCCATCCCCGCATTGCCTGGTAGGGCAGAGCCAGGACGGCGTCTTCCGGAAGAGGAGGCTATCCACATGTGTACGTACTCCCGTGTCGAGCGCACCAAGCACCCGGGATGTGATTGCGCCGGGCGTTGAGGGAGCCCAGGGCTGAAGGAAATTCTTTGTATCCAAATCCTGGGGACGGGTGACATGAAAGCGGCGGGTGTCTGAGAGGAGGCCTGTCATGGGGACCAGACCGGTCAGGGCAGGCGGATACACACCGGAACGCTACAAACCAACCCGTCCTACTAACCCCGATTGCTTCTTTGCGGAAAAATGCTACTCGGCATTTCAGCCACTCATAAATCGGCACGCGTTGAAAAAAGGCGGATGTGTTTTCGAGGCGGGGCTTTCTGCGATGTAAAGCTGCCCCACCTTACCGTTCCGTCCCTGGCGCACTCCAGAAACGCGTTCCAAATCAGCGCAGGGGTGGTCAGAAAAAACAGAGCCAAGCAAATCAGACTGATCTGATTGCAAGGCGGCTGCAGTTGCTGCCGTTGGCATTGCCGCATTTAAAGCCCGCTTCTCTTCCCCACGTTCGCCTCAAACCTTCTCCCATCCCTCGTGCTCATAACCTACATCCAACAAGCGTTGCACATCTTCAGCCTCACTACCCACCACCACACTTTTCTTCAACCCCCCAAACCATCATCATGACTGGACGTAAGTTATACCCTTAACTACATCCACACCTCGAGGGTTGCACGATGCTAACTCCCCTCCAGGCGGAAAGGGCGGCAAGGGCCTCGGCAAGGGCGGTGCCAAGCGTCATCGCAAGATTCTTCGTGACAACATCCAGGGTATCACCAAGCCCGCTATCCGCCGTCTGGCGCGTCGTGGCGGTGTCAAGCGTATCTCAGCCAGTATGTCACCCCACTATCCAACATCAGCCCTTCACATTTGAAGAACGCGTTCTAACGCGTCACCCCACAGTGATCTATGAGGAGACCCGCGGTGTCCTCAAGTCCTTCCTCGAGGGTGTCATCCGTGACGCCGTCACCTACACCGAGCACGCCAAGCGCAAGACGGTCACGTCGCTCGACGTCGTCTACGCCCTCAAGCGGCAAGACCGCACTCTCTACGGCTTCGGCGGCTAAACGGGCCGGCGCCGTGGCGACGACTCTTGATGACATTTCAGCGCGTTTTTCACACGTTTTTACTCTCCATCGGTTATGGTTGGGCTGCGATGAGTTTTATGGGGGCAACTGGGTTTTTATTTTCACTTTCGGTCTGTCTGGGTTATGTGTACCATACGGGGGCGGTCAACAATGGGTGTTTTACACGGGTGGACATACCAAAGGCATAATCGATGCGATCTCCTGCTTGCTGCGGGGCGCATTCTTGATCAAATTTCTGGCTCCTTCTGTGAATGGTGACGCGTCGCGTTTTGTGTTTATGCCCAGTGTGGATCCCACGCGTCGGGAATGCTCTGTTGCTGTGTGTGTCTTGTCGGCTGTCTCATGCTTATATTTCTTGCATTCTTGGCGCTTTCAAGTCTCGGCTGATTCTAATCACTCTGATCCTGCGTCGTGTGACTCAATCTCCTCCGCCTCTTTCGGCTCCTGGCTGCTGCCTAGCTCGGCCCAGCCTTGCACTCGCTGTTGAGTCTCGATATCAACACAACCTGCCTACACACGGGTGTTTGACGCCAGCCGTCCTCCTTGGTAGTAAGAAGACAGTTACAGCTACGTCAAGCCGGTGTTAATGTAGCCGTAGTCCAACCTGCGAGTCACTAAGTCTCGGGCTCTTGACATGGAAAAGCATGGTTGCATGGGACTTGAGGCAACGTTTGACAATGAATGTTGAAATCCTAAACCGTCATCACCTCCTTGGAGTTCATGTCGGCTGGTGTGTGACTGGCCGAGTAAGCTACGATTAAAGGTTTTATTTATTTTCATGTATTAATCGGGGGCTTGCTTGATCATAAATTCTAATTCAGTTTTCGTCCTAATCATGTTGAACATTCGGATACAAGTCGGGTCAGTGGTGTCTGAACCCTACTGCAACGTGATTTTTGGGCATGGAAATCACATCATAACCGAGCGCTGACTCTAATACTGTTCTTTAGAGTCTCGATATGTAAGGGCATATGTAACTACACTGACTTTTTGTGTTAAACCACCATGCCCATTTCCCAGCCTTGTTTAACACGGAAATTACTTAACCAGTCCATAGTTCGGACATTAGTTATACTCTATAATGCCAAGGGCTGGCATCAAGAGTACCTACCTCAGTACCACTTCGAATGTATTTAAAAGAAGACCTGAGACTTCCCCCCAAAAATAAAAATAAAAACAGTCCTAGGCTAAGAACCCAAAAACTAGACAAGAACGAATGTCACCCCTGGGCTCTGCTGTGTATAAAGAAGGACGGTATGTGTGTTGAATAACAAGTGAATAGTATTATTTATATGTGGCGACCAACTTACCTAAGTAGGTAAACAATCTGCGTAGACCAAAGTAGTGGTAACAGTGATGTGCATCTTATTAGTGGCCCGCTGGCGTTACGATACGTCAGTATGTAACAAGCATGGCGTTTATGTGATTGATTGCAGCTGGCAACAGACTAGCCTTCTTCCATTTTCATTGTGTTTCCAATTCCTATCGCAGTTTCGGTATCTATCATTGCCTAGCAATTCTCTCCCAAGTCCGTCTCGTGTCGTAACTGATATGCCGATCAACTCTATTTGACTTTTATTTCTGTTGCGAGTGGCTTGAACACCCATAGTTAAGACACCCAAAGGCAGGGTCAATTTCCATTCATCTCAAACCATATGTTAACCCTTGAACGTAATCAATACTTCACCCCGCCACATCAGGCTCAGAGACTGTAGGTAGTAAGTACCCGAATAATTCATTTGCTGCCAAATGATTCTCATCTACGGGTATATATTGTCTATACGTAGACGCTGTGTTAGGTCCTCTAGCCGAGGTGGGAGAAGGGGGGTGGTCTGAAAACTCAGAGCGCAATTAATGGGGCACTGTATGCACCCAGTGCCTAAAGATACTACCGGAAGCTCTGCCACACGTTCTGGACTGCGGCCACTGTGGTCCAAACCGGAAACCTTTCCGATATGGGCCAGTGTCAATGGGTGGAGCGGGGAAGTAGAATGGCTCGCTTCACTACGTAGGTAGGTTGTTCGTTTCTCTCTCCATGGAGTTCGAGACTCGCCCCACGAGATCTCGGCAATCAGACAAGGTAGCGGGTTTATGGCGCAACCAAATGCCAAGTCGGGTGAAGGTTGTTAGCCCTGTTTAACTTGATAACGCTCGGTCTTTGCCACTCGGCGCGAACCTATGACCACTGCACAATGTATCGAGCGAGACTTGCAGAGTCAAGACGAACAACAGCACTCAAGATAGACAGTAGTGCAGCAAACTTTGAGATGGACCAGGACCCTTCAAGATGGACAACGCACTTTAGGACGGACAGCGTACCTTGGGATGAATGGGCAGCGTACCTATACACCAGTGCCAACACTTTACCGATGGAACTAGGAAGACAGTCAAGAGAGCTTTTTGTCCGTCATCGCAAAATGACGGCGACGACATCATTCTCGAGACTTTGGATAGTGAGACACCGCGCTTCAGCAAAGTGGCCCCCTGAAAATGCCTCTGTCAGCACATTCAAGCTTGAGCAACCTTCCTACTCGAGCGACGCCTGCCCAGCATCATTGCCTCGAGAGAAACTCGAAACTGCAATTTGCAAACACTGCCAGTGTTTTGTAGCTGTACTATACACGGATGCTGGAAACATGGCAGCTGGTAAACACCGACAAATTGGCTAGGTTCTCAACTCGAAGGGGTGTACCACTGGCTTGCCCGGCTCCTGAATCATTATCGTCCGAGCACGGCTTGCTTCCCCACCCGTCTCAAGCTCAACGGACGCAAGCAAGTAAACCCTAGATCTGAAGGATATCCCTTGCTTGACAACACTCGAGGGGCAGTATCCCGACGTTCCAACGTTACTCATGCTACCCAGCAACGAGACCAACTCCCCCCGTCCAGTGTCGCATCAAGCTCAACAGGATACTCCTCCAAACAAGGCCAACAACATCAGGAGTCCCAAGAGTACGCCCACCAAACCCAAACAGACCCTCAGCCGTCGGACAACAAAGGCAGAGCCGTTGAGCGATGGACTCGTGTTGGAAAAATCCCATGACATCACGCGAAGCCACCAGGGGAATACGAGGTACAGAGCGTTGTGGCTGCAGGTCTTGGCTCAATATAGCGCTTAACCGAGACAAAGCTGGAGAAGCATGATTGGAGTACCACCAAACACACCGTAACGCTCGAAGCTTGATAGCTCAACTGGGCTGGCGTGGCTGGACCAAGCCGTTCCCCGCAGTGACATCGACTGGCTCGCTCGCCTACCGTGGTACCAATGACAGAGGTTCATGTCAGGGCGAGACATTAGGTTAAATTTATATTTATTCCTCGTCTGCTGCTGAGTCGGAGTCTCACCTTGAGCATTGTCTCACAATCCTGCCGAACCGGACAACACGGGCAGCACGGACAACACATCTAGACAACATGGCTCTGAGATATTCGTCGCTCGTTTTGGTGGCCATTGCCGCCCTCATGTGAGTGGACTTACACCCGCACCCCCCATTGCCTGGATGAATTGCAGCTGACTTGGATGACACAACAGGCAGCCGGCCATGGGCTCACCCGCCTGCCCGGCCCGATCTTCCACAACGCCGGCCCCATCCGGGCCCTCGACGCTGCCGGCCTCATGCACGTACCGGCCGCAGGCAACGACATACACCAACGACGGGTGCGACTTCAAGTGCCCGCCGCAGTCGGCGTGGTGCATCGCGGACGGTAAGTGACACACGCTAACCCAGCCCTCTTAGCGGTTCTCATAGCTGCCTCCCGAGGGCGTGCGAGCGAGTGAGCTAATCGCTGACAACCTCGTAGCTTTCGTCGTGCTGCCGTGCGGGTGTGACCGGGCGGCCGTTGCCCCAACCACCGTCAGCCGCTGCCCTACGGCAAGCGGCAACTGCTTCCAGTGCTCGACCGGCTGGGGCATTGCGACCGTCACCGACTCCAACTGCCCACCGTCTGCGACTGCGACGGCGACTGCGGCTTAGAGGCTGGTCACGGGGATTATTGGGGGGATGTCAAGGGTAAGGAAGGGAAGGGGAGGATCCTGGGTAAGTGAGTTTGTGTGATTGTTGAAAGGAACCAACGGAGTGATGGCGGCCCTGATGGCAGGAATGGGGGCATCGCGGCACACGCGGAGCCGCACCGTTGCTTAACCTGCGCAAGACAAGCTCCGCTTGGCTTGGGATTCTCTTTCCGTTTATCAGCCAAGAAACAACTCGGAAATAGGTACTCAAGCTGGCGTCGGGAAAACAGAATTGAGAAGCCGTTGCCGGACTCCTCCTGCCGTGATTGATCCCAACAAGCAACAGCAACATATTCCTGTCTAAATAGGTTGGCTGGACATTTGTGCCAGTCTGATTTGTTGGCTAGTCCCATGAACAGCGCGCCTGGCGATTCAGACGGGGTTATCGCAACCCGAAAGTCGGAAAACAGACCGCCCGGGACTGTCAGAGGATGCTAAAGCCATGTGCCGTAGCCATGATATGCCGATTGACCTCGCTCGATCGTGGCCACGAGCCCAGATGTCTGCTCCAAAATTTCCACTGGTTTCATCGCGCCTCGGCACAAACTTTTGGAACCGGTAGAGAGAAAGCACGGCAGAAGAAGCAAGGGACTGGCCGACTTCCAAATCGAGGGACAGAGAAAAAGGAAGGAGCTCAGGATTGTCGATTTGGGCCATCGAATTCCTGCCGCTGGGTAGGAGCGATCTTGACGAGGTGGGAAGGATGTGATTTTGCTCACCCATCAAAGAAAGAAAGAAAGAGAAAGGAGAATAAAAAAGATAAGAGAAAAAGGGGGGAAAAGAGAATCAAAAACAAGAGCAAAGAGAAAGAAAGAAAGAAAGAGCTCCGGGCATCTGAGGCGCCTTAAATGTGTTGGAGGCTTGCTGCATTTCGGGCTGATTATTAAGAAAACGCGCGGGAGCGTAGCGCGTGTTGGTCGCGTCGCCAGGGGCCGGCATTCCAGGTGGGGTGAGTAGTGATTGGCTGAAGGTGCCCGGGGTTTCCTTTTCAGGACAGACAGGGGTTTGCGGGTCTTTCCTTCAGCTGGCGCGTTCTTGCCCCCTCTGTTCGTCTGATCAACTTCCTCCTGTCCCTTCGGAATCCCCGACCACCTGAGGTCGCGGTTCCCAATACAGGCCGTGGCTTCGCCGCAACCACGACTCAAACTGACAGCAGCTTTTTTTCGGCTTACATGGCGGAAACTATGGCACAGGTGGCTGCATGCTGTCCAAGTGGATGAGGCGTCCAGGAACGGGGAGCCGCAAGTGTTGTGCATCCAGTGATGTTTCACAGTCGTCGCGCATTTGGGACCCGGGCTTTGAACGTGAAGGGTGATGCTTGGGTTTCAACAAAAGGGCCCGGATCTTCAAAACTCTACTCGAACCATTCTGTTGATCGCCTTGGCCCGCAAAAGATTCGAACAAGTGTTCTATGGAGCCTCACGTTGCTTCCATGGTTTGCGAGCCGTTTATCCGATCAGCAAGTTGGAATGAGATCTGAAGAGGCAGGGTGCTAGGTTCACTGGGTTGTGCTTGGCTCTCGGGCGGTGGTGGGCTTGGACACGAGGCTTCTTAACCCCGAGCCAACACCGTCTGCCGGCGCTTTATGAGGCTCGGACAAACACGATTTCCATTGACGACAGACCGACGAAACTTGGCACGCCCGGCACGCCGGGCTCATTCCGGCCTCATCTACCGGCGAAGTGGGACAGGGGTCTCGACTTTACATCATCGGGTGGGATGTCTCAATTTGGATGAGGAACTCGGGGTTGCGGGAAACGCTAAAGACCCCGTATGTGGGATGCGCGATTTGAGGGGAGAAAACACTCGGGGCCCCGGATACCGACCACGTCGTTTTCCCGGGGTGTTTGACCTGGAGTATCTCATCATTCGTTGTGTCTTGTTGGGCGACCACGTTGCGGTATGTTTGTGAATGGACACGGAGGGGGAGCATGCCATGCATGCGACTGGCAGGGTTCCGGGTTGTCTATGTTTGGAAACTCCGTTATGGTCCCACCTTTGACGGAGCCGCAAATGTCTCCGCCAGTTCCGATGGGAACGGCCCGATAACGTCACTCCACTGGTCATGTTGATGACGTTCGACAACGATCTCGAGATCCACGTCTTTACGGGCCTTTCCGGTGACAAGCTGCAACTGCCGTGATGCGCAGATCCAGGGTCGACAGTTTGACGATGGAGGCTCCCAACGAAGTCGGGCTCGTCAGGGTCCGTCGCCGTCGAGTGGAAGGCGCAACCATGAATTCGGAACCTCCACTTTCGGTAGGACCGGTCTCCAGCGCCCCCATCGCTCCTGCTCGTTGCCCCCTTCGACTCCATGGGGCCCCTCGTCTCTTCGCGCTTTCCTTCTCCATGTTGGAGCCCGTAATGTCCAGCTGATCAAAATTCAGGATTTTTACCAGACGAGGACCGTCCTGGACCCTCTCTTTTCTCTTCCACTGGTTCGAATTTAATATCGCAAGACTCCCGGCTTTCATCGTTTCTATCTAGGTCGTCTTGCCACACCGTCATCTTATGAAAGAAGCCCTTTTTTCGGCCCGCTGACTAGTCACCAACTCCTTTGGCCACTGATTTGACGAGATGGCGTTCTCACGCTTCCAAAAGGCGTCGGCTGAGCATGGCCCCGCTAAGGCTGAGGGCCCATCCGCGGCCGCTATCGTTGCAGAGCAGAAGATCACAGCTATTGCCATCTTCCTCGGTGCGGTCGCCAGTATTGGTGGCTTCATGTTTGGCTATGTCAGGTAAGCAAGCAAGCTGCTCTGGTACCGGTCTGTGGCCTGGGTGCTGACGCCGACCCTAGCGGTCAGATCTCTGGTTTCTTCGACATGGAAGACTACGGTAATCGCTTTGGAGTACACAACCCCGACACGGGCAGGTATGACTTCAGCGCTGCTCGCCAGGGCGCCATCGTCGGTCTCCTTCCTGCTGGCTGTCTCTTCGGTTCCCTGATCGCTGGCAACATTGCCGACACTCTCGGCCGCCGCATGGCCATTTCAGTGTCGGCCCTCTTCTGCTCTGTCGGCAACATCATCGAGATCTCGTCCGAGACTTCATGGGCTCAGTTCGCGGTCGGCCGTCTCGTCACCGGTCTCGGTATCGGCGCCCTCTCGGTGGCTGTGCCCATGTACCAATCCGAGTCTAGTCCTGCTATCCTTAGAGGCGTTCTCATCTCTACCTATCAGCTTTTTATTACTTTGGGTATCTGGACTGCGGAAATGATTAACTACGGCACCCACAATATGTCGGGCTCGTCATCATGGCGGATTCCCAACGGCCTGTCGTTCCTCTGGTCTCTGATCCTCGGTGGTGGCATCCTCCTTCTGCCCGAATCTCCTCGCTACGCGTATCGCAAGGGTCGCGAAGACGAGGCTCGCCGCACCATCGCACGTCTTGCTGGCCTTAACACCGACGCCCCGTCTGTCAATCAGCAGATCGACGACATCCGTGCGAAGCTCGATGAGGAGCGAGCGGGCGCGACCACTAGATGGTACGAGATCTTTACGGGTCCTCGCATGCTGTACCGTACATTGTTGGGTATCACGCTTCAGGTGAGTTCCCCGCAAGTTTCGCTTAGATTGGCAGGTCACTGACTGTTTGGCAGGCTGGACAACAACTCACGGGTGCCAACTTCTTCTTTTACTACGGAACAACCATCTTTAGAGCCACGGGCCTTAGCGACAGCTACGTGACTCAAATTATTCTAGGATCAGTCAACGTCTTCTGCACCTTTGGCGGTCTCTATGTGGTGAAGAAATGCGGTCGGAGAAACGCCCTCATGGCCGGCGCACTTTGGATGATGGTGTGCTTCCTGGTTTATTCGTTCGTCGGGCATTTCAAGCTCGACCCGGTGAACCCCGCGAACACCCCAGCGGCCGGCAACGTTCTCATCGTTTTCTCCTGCCTTTTCATCGTTGCTTTCGCCACGACCTGGGGTCCTCTCGTCTGGGCCGTCGTCGCCGAGCTTTACCCTGCCAAGTACCGCGCACCGGCCATGGCGCTGGCCACTGCGAGCAACTGGCTGTGGAACTTCTTGATGAGCTTCTTCACGCGCTTCATCACGGACGCCATCGACTATCTCTACGGATTGGTGTTTGCGGGCTGCTGCGCGGTCCTCGTGCTCGTCGTGTTCTTCTTTCTTATTGAGAGCAAGGACAGGAGCTTGGAGGAGATTGACACCATGTACTTGCTACACGTCAACCCGATCAGCAGTAGCAAATGGGACGAAAAGCACGTGCCGGGTAGTGCCGATACGAGTGGCCGCCAGTCACGGCAACAGTCGGCTCACGACGAGGAGCATATCGAGGCTCCTTGAGAGAAGCACAGAAATACATTCTGGGAAGTGGGATATTGAAATAGAAGGCCTGGCGTCATGGAGCTCATTTGGTGGAGCATATACAACTCTTGTGGTCTTGGACCTAGAGCATTTGTGGGTTGAAAAGGTGTTGCTCGGGACACATCCACTGGGGACCGTGGTATTATTAGTTCGCTTTTGGGATTGGGGCATTCGCAGCACGGCCTGTGTATTTGATGCCGGTCATTCTGGGCAACGAGTCTGTATGATACCAATAGCTACATTCAGAGGGTTAGTTCGGAACGCAGTAGCCCAGGGGGCGATCGACGCTATCCACCACACACACCATAGCTTTTCTAGCATGGTTTGCCAAGGTTGACGGTTTTTACTTAATCATTATACAGAGTACATCTCGTCGTTTGATCAGGCTTTCTGCGGCTGGCGTGGGATGAGGGAACCAAGAAAAAATCTGATTTTCTTTGCGGTGACCTGACGTTGCCACTGTTGGCGAAGGATCCCTGTCGAGGTGGGTTCTGGGCTTCCACGACTCGGCTCGGCAACACTCCGGTGTCACCGTTCGGCCTGCAGCGATCGACGGTGGGTCCGGCAGAAGGGCAGAGCACAGGTTGAGAGGGAAATCTCCGAGGCCGACCAACCCTAACAGGGTGGTATCCGGTCCTAACTAGTGAGGCAAATGCCGGTCTGGGCGAGTCTTTATCTGAATTTTTTTTTATCTATGACTAGACAGAACTGTTGATGGAACGTTGGACTGTTGAAGAAAAGCTGGGTGGGTGGGTTGCTGGCGATGGGTTGGGACTTGCCCGACTCATTCTGGCTTCGACTCAGCCCGCTGCTTGGGTACCTACCTAGGCGAGGGAGGGAGGTGGTGGTTATGATGGTGTTTTGATTGGGACAGGGACATGCTGGGGCATGCTGTGTTATTATGGTATTTGTTTTGAGGAGAGTTTGTGGACTCTGCTCCCTCCGTGATTTTTTTTCTGATTTGTTTGGGGAGTTGATGAGCTGTGGGTTCCGGTTTTGATCTGGAGATAAGAAGAGAGGGTTTTGTCGACTGATTACGAAGTACGAAGTATCCATGGCAGGGTGTTCGGCTCCGGCCGGTGGGGCGGGACTGGTTGAGTTGGAATTTTTTTTTAGAGGGTCTTTTTCCCCCGGTGGCGAGTTGAGCTACCTTACGAGCTTACTTTGCTTGCTGTGCTTGGCTGGGCTCCTGGCGGTCGGCGTTCGGAGCTTCTAGGTTAGTTTGATGTTGGTTGGAAGGGGCCGGATGGATGGCGAAGTTTGGGAAATTTGAGATGGGATTTTTTTTTTTTTTTTTTTTTTGCTTGCCTTGGACGCTTCTAGGCTGGTACAGGCTTGACTGGTTTGGATATGTAAGTTCGGGTGTTGCTGTTTTGGTTGATCAAGGGCTGATGTTTCTGTTTATACACGGCGTAAACTCAAGCTTCGTGCCCCTGAATTTGTTGTTGTTGTTCGTCCTTTCTATCCTTGTTGGGTCTGAAGTGACCCATCCATCCAAAGTTGAGGTCCCCATATCCCGGCAACTCTCATCCACTCTCGATCCACTCCCGAATCTCGACACCGAAGACAAAACTTTTGTCCACTTGACAGGGTTGTGCCTACCCGCGGTTTTTGTCGGTTTCTGTTTGCCGGAAGTTACTGCCGAGCTGGATAGTTGGCAGGAGTTGACTGCATTATTGCGTTGGATTTGGGTTGGTTTGCGACTCACTCACTCACTCATACATCAGTCATCAGCTTTACCACACAGTATTGCTGCTATCGAGAGTGTTTAGTCGGGGACTCCGAGGGGATTGGCAGTTCAAAGTTTTGAGCTAGGGGAGACGGGCGTATCCACACGATTGAATTTTTCTGAGTTCTGACTCTCTCTCCAGGGGGTGCTCTGTGACCTTTGGCTTTTGACTCGGCGGTAGTCTCAGACCTGTTGTTTCACAGTTTCTCCATATTGTGCGGTCTGTCAGCTCTGATCTGGTCCAAACTAGGCGGCTTCTGTTGGTATCGTCGCGGGTAGCATATCGCGTCGCGCTGAGGGCGACTCC